CCTCCCGCTTTAACTGGCATAAAATCTCGTTATCCAGACACAATATGTCAGGTACAGATGTAGTGCGCCATAAACGGCAGTAATATGTACACATTAAATTACAAACTTCGCTTCAGAAGGCACTAAACATAAATAGTATACATTTGTGCATGTTTGTATATCGTAAGTTTGCTATGGAGAATCTTTCGAATTGGACATATGTTTTGACTTTGGGATGCGCAACCTGTATGTGGAAGTTCTCAAAATATACTTATTGTGAGATTGTGCCAAAACATATGTGAAACTAATCATAGATGCATATGTTATTATTAAGATGTGATTACTCTGGTCGACACATTAGTAATGTATTCACCTAACTCAATATGTTTATTATCTTCGCCAGCCAAGGTTCAATTATTCGGCCGTCGCTGTAAGGTCATGGGATGCCTGTGTGTTTATATGTGTGTTATTTTCAATCAATTAAACATGCTTCATATTAAACTCGTTTGTGACAAACGTTTGTTGTAATAATTTGTGATATCAGCTCAATGATGACGTTACGACCGGCTGGAACTATACTGGTAATGGAATATGGGATATACAAATACAGATAGATAGATATTTGAACATACTTATTTTCATTTTATTTTGTGGAGTCATTATTAAGAAGTCGTACATGGCCAATCAACAGCTTGCATAGATGCATATGTTATTATTCAAATGTAACCATTGAATAAAAGAGAAAGGGAGGGTGGGAGTCAAGAGACTTGTTTATGTCCCTCCCGTCATCGCGTCCACTGTTCAAATTACCATGGTTACAGAGGTCAGAAGACAGGATGACGGGAGACAATGGAAAGATATTAGATGGACAAAGAAGGTATCGTGGTTCTCTAGCTCCTCACAATTCCCTTTATTATCAACAGATGCGGCGTATTTGTTTGCGCATTCGTTATCTACCTAGCAACGGGCGGGGGTAGAACAAAAATATGAAAGGTCAAAAGAACAATATAATAGAGAGGCGACCTCAGAGAATACAGCGGCATATTTGAAACAGCTCGCGGTGTGTGGATGGGTACAAAAAGGGCAGCTACAATGACTATATAAGATAGGTGAGGAACGTGAATTACCAGTTGAAAAGGAAATGAAACGTGCGTGTGTGTTTCATTGAGTAAATATAGCCGTGACAGTTTTTCAACCCCGGCACCAAAAAATATATAAACATGTTTTGCTATAGGCAAATATAATGTTCGTTTTTTTTTCACTTAGACAGAATGGTGTGCACATTTTCAAAGGCTGATACGAATTATTTGAAAAATGGTGGCACTTTTATTTGAGGGTTTTTTTTTACGCTGGGAGTTGGGGAAACACAGACAAGCAGTGTACGCGTTTAGAACATTCAAAATCTGTCCTACCTTCCTATCCTGAATCAGGATACAGCATAATATGATGTGTGTTTTCTGAATATGATCATTGTTAAACCAAGTGTGTATTTCACATAATAGATATAGTGTGAATGTCTAACAATCAATAATGCAATACATAGAGAAGATAGACTCCAAACTGTCATGAAAATCACTTGTATCTGGCAATACACAACCACGTTTAATATTGGGTTTCAATAAACATTTTATTTGGAAACAAAGTTCAGACAAAAATATACTTACTCGGCATCTTAATACAACACTTTTATCCAAATATTGAATAATTGATATGCATTTGCAGCTTGTAATTCAAAGGCACTGTGTGGGTAGTGTTATTTACTCGAAGAGTGACATCAATAACCCAGGAA